GTCAGAGCCACAAGAGAAATTTTTTGGCGGCCCTTTGGATCTCCTTTTTGACTCGACCCCCATTCTCCGAAACCAATTTGGCGCTAATTCTTTCGAAGAACTGGCAGCCCATCCCCTACCCCCTTTGACCCTCCACACCCAGAATTTTCGCAAGAGCCAGCAGAGACAATTTAGCGGCAGCCCATCATAGCTCTTCTTGTGGTCTTTGAATATACCTTGTTTGGCTCTGGACTTTCCTTCATGTGTCTTCATCACCCCTCAGTCCCTTACTGCCCCCACACACCCCTCCCGTACCAAACCCCTTGCATCCCCACATTATACAGACAACACACTGACGCAGAATCACGCTTGGCGCGAGTCCGTCGTATCCGACATACAACAGGCCGACGGTCACGATTTATACTTGTTATGATATATCTCCAAGCCCCAGATCAATTGATGGCAAAAGCAAACATATATCTAATTCTCTGGGTGTAAAACGCCTTGCCGTGCTTATAGATCTGTGTGTGAATACGTTCACGGTCACAAATTTGAAGAACACAAAGGTGCATGCCTTAATCGTCGACCCCCTATCGGAGATTTCTGGCCATGCTTCTGGCTTCGCTCCATGACCATCACGTTGTAAACTGTCGAGGGAAGGAATGGTGTACTTTTCAGCCCCTGAAATGTTTTGGTATCAAAGTAAAAAATGCCTAAATCCTTTTGTCTAAATCTATGTGCAGGCAGGGCGTCGGTGCCAGTGTGCGTGAATATGTGCACGGTCACAAAGTTCAAAAAGACAAAGGTGCCTTGATGGTCGAACCCCGGATTGGAATCCCGATATCCCTCTCCACACCTCTTACTGTCTCCACCATCCCCATTCTCCGAAACCAATTTGGCGCTGATCCTCCCGAAAAACTGTCATCCCATCCCCCCAGTCCCCACCTTTGACTCTCCACTCCCAGAAGTGTACGGTCACAAAGTTCAAAAAGACAAAGGTTCCTTGATGGTCGAACCCCGGATTGGAATCCCGATATTTGTCTCCACGATCCCCATTCTCAGAAACAAATTTGGCGCTAATTCTCCCGAAAAACTGGCAGCCCATCCCCCCACCCACTCCCCACCTTTGAATCTCTACTCCCAGAATTTTCGTCGGAGCCACAAGAGACATTTTGGCGGCCTTTCGGGCTCTTCGTTTTGACCCTACACATCCAGGGTTTTGTTTCAGCTACCAAATCGGCTCCTTTTCGCCCCACTGTATACACATGATAGCGAAAGAACCACCCAGGAAAACGTGTCTATTTTCGCCTCACTGTCTCCTGTATAGGTATACGGCATACGCGTAAGTGAATCTTATAACATGTAATCTCAGAATATGCCTTGTTTGGCTCAGTGGACATAGAGCTAGAGCAGCTAGCTAGAGCTTTCCTCTAGGAGTCTTCTTCAGCCGCCAGCACCTTTACCATCCCCCTCCCCATTCTCTGCATCTGATATTTTGACATTATACAGACAACGTTAACACACTGAAGCTGAATGAAGTCATACGAGATGTGTCGCCTCAGGCATTACCTTAGATGGGAGTGACATTGTTAGTTGAGTTTTAGCCTGGAGTTGTTTTTCTACCTCCATGGTTTGAGTAGTCCCATCACGTTCACGGCTACGTGTTGGTAGTGTTGGGTGTGCGACCAATTGTAACAGGGGTCGGAGCTACAACGCGCCTAAACTTGTTATTGCATTGCGGACTAGACGTGTTTCAGCGCCAACAGCTAAGACGTAACCCGCCAAGATGTACAGCACCGCGTCTTCCTCGAGGTCTCACAGTCAGCTTGTACAAAATGTGCTCTTGGCCCACAGATCCTCAAATCGCCACAGGCATAGTGGCTATTCCGATGGCGTGAACGGGGGCTCGTACCACAAGCCGGCGTCGGGCTCGTACCACAAGCCGTCGGGCTCGTACAACAAGCCGTCGGGCTCGTACAACAAACCGCCGGGCTCGTACAACAAGCCGTCGGGCTCGTACCACAAGCCGCCGGGCTCGTACCCCAAGCCTTCGGGCTCGTACCACAAGCCGCCGGGCTCGTACCCCAAGCCTTCGGGCTCGTACCACAAGCCGTCGAGCTCGTACAACAAGCCGTCAGGACCATGGAGCATCTCTGATTCCGATTCTGAATCAGGTAAAACACCCCCCTCTATCATTCCTTTCTGTATCAAGTTGCACCAATGCCTTGTCCAAGATTACTACACTTATTCCATACATCTTTGTCGTCTATAGAATCCCGAAACCATTAGACAGAAAACATTCACAGCCGAACGTTACAGGCAGGTAAGTCATCAAATGCTGTACATGTGACCTAAGAGGTTTGGCACATTTCATTCTGTAACTATTGAGGGAGGAAATGGTCTACTTTAATTGCTATATCTCCAAGCCCCAAAATGTATTGAAGGCAAAGTTTAAACAATGCTGTGTGTAGGGTGTCTGTGCCTGAATAAGTTCAAGAAGACCTTAAGTGCCTTAATGGTCGATCCCCAGATTGGAATTCCGAGCTCTCTCTCCACGCCTCTAGCTGCCCCTCTGACGAGCAATGAGCCCAATTTCTCCGAAGCCAATTTGGCGCCAATTCACCGGAAAAGATCAGATAGAACATGGAGGTCAGCCCATCCCACCACCTTTGACTTTCCACACCCAGAAAGTTTGGCGGCAATTTCTACACTGCCAAATAGGCCTCTTTTCAACCAAGGAGCTCCATGTTTCAACCCATATCATAGACTTAAAGTTTGTATCGAAATTGTTATTCATTTGCCACTGTTTGTCGGCTAGGTCAGGGTAACGTTTGTTCGACAAGTCGGGCTTATTTCAGTAATTATAATGTTGCAATGGTTACAGCACGTAGGGACATGTTATGAATGTGATCTATTGTTACATAAGGATGGGCCGAGGGGCGGGGCTAGCACATACGTCACAGTTTGCAAAATGTATCTGCAGGGTGAACTGGTCGTCATTAAGGAAGCACTTTTTACCGAATTACATTTTTAAATATAAAAATAAATCCATGCCTTGAACCGGCATTTTGTAAGGTATGCTTTAATCTTCGAGCTTTTTTGGTGGCTGCAAATTACATTATCAAACTGGCCAGGCAGTAGCTATTTGTCATGCAGTCACCATTTGCCACTTAGCTGATTGGAGTATGCTTATGGTCCTCCTCATCTTGGTCGCCATGTGCTATCTTTAGTTATGACCTCGTGTCCAACGACCTTCAATAATTATAATAATGATGAATTTTTATTGCATGTTCTTGCCCAGACGGGCTAAATGCACAAGAGGATAAAAAACAAGAGTATCGCATACTGGAACGCTATATTCTAATACTAAGTGCTATGAGTCTATATATTACAACAATACTATATACTACCTATCATCTACTGTTAGTTGCTCTTTCTTCTGTCTTTTTGAATCATCTGGAAACATAATTACATAGTTTGTCTGCTATACGTTCGTTCTTGCATGACATCAAGTGTTTAAACGTGTCCTGCTTTGACATTTTCTTACATATCTTGACTAATTGTAATTGTAATCACATCCTGCTGTAAACATAACTCCTAGGTAACAATATGATTTAACTATCTCTATCTCTTTATCATATAATGAGAAACTAATGTTAGACAATAAAAGGCCCCTTTGATTTTTGCTCCGTTGATAGTTAATTTCCATTGTTGGCAATATCGGTCGAGAGTGTTGCATTCTGTAGTCCCTGCTTACTTTCCGGCATTAGAACAATATCGTAGTCATAAAATAGGCTATTTATTTTTGAAGATTGTAATAGATGCGTCTAGGTTTTCTGCATTGAGTTTGTCTATGAGATCACGAATGTACAGGTTGAATAAGGTGGGGCTTAAAACACACCCTTGCCGAACAATTTCAACAGGAAAAGTTTCGCTCAGGTCATTCCTAGTTTTGACACTGGCTTCGGACTGGTTGTATAAGTTTTTGATTATGTCGAAGAGTTTGCCTGAAATGCCGTTGGAGAGAAGTTTGTATAGCAGTCCCCCATGTCAAATGGAGTCAAAGGCTTTTGATAGGTCGACAAAACAAGCGAATAAGGGTTTTCCAGACTTTGTGTGTTTAGATATAAGAGTTTTCAATATGAAGATGTTATCTGATGTCCTGTAGTTTTTTTCTGAATCATGTTTGGTTTGGTTTTATGATTTCATCTGTACAGACAACAGGTACGGGTTGGTAATGGTACGGTTACAACGCCCATTTAAGGTCTGTCCCTGGGAAATGCTGTTCTATATATGTATTGCCTGTTTAAGTCTTCAGGTTATTGCTGCAAATAGAATTATGTCAAAGGCTCCAGTAGTGTATGCGAAACACGAAATAGTTTAACGATTTTGATATCATTTAGTACAAATGGTGTGATACTCGTATCCGGTGTCTCGCTCTCGTACTGTCAAAGCATGATATGTATCAGAAATAACACTTTTTGCGAGAGGCTTCTATTCTGAATGATCATCCGCAGTCAGCCACATTTGGTTTATTGGTCAAACATTACCCGTGCAATCGCCGCTTTGTATAACGCTGAATTATATCTATGATGCAAGGTCTACAATCACATAATACACATGATACATATAACATATTTGCTCCACACACACTTTTGTGGAACCGTGGCAAGGGTCTCATTTGATTTCACGTTTTCCACACCTAGCAACACCCCTCCCCCCCCCCCCCTACCACACACCACACACAAGGGCACAATTTTCTTTCACAGTTGCAGAGAACATTTCAGAACCCAAAAAACATGTCCCACAACCATGACTACTCGCACATATGCTGAGCTTTGTTTCAGATCAGGCCATGGCCACCTTGGAAATCTGATGAGTGTCTCAGGAAAAATTCTAAAACTGTTCTCTTTCTTTTCAGACGGGCCTCTCAAACTGACCAAGATCGACTTTCTGACTGAGGAGAACGCCCGTGAGCACCACACGGATGAGTTTGAGGAACATAACGTGGTCCGGCGGGGACAGCCCTTCTATGTGGAGCTGCACATCGAGAACTATGACCCAAATGAGGACATTCTTCACGTGGAACTTCACTTTGGTGAGATCGTCACAAAATTAATTGTGTCGTATATTCGGGTCTACTTTCATAATTGATTTCAGTAGATCCCCCTTAATGTTAGCATGTGTTTGATGCATTGTTCTAATAGATATTGTAATTATATTTTGTGATTTTCGCTTAAGGGGACAGAACAACGTTAGATCATCATCGGCATTGCCCTTTCATCAATATGAAGACAAGATATGATACATACATATCATGGAATCCTTCAACCCGTTTACTCACATTCAGTACAAAATTAGTTTTCCATCCAACACGGTCATTTGTCGTCGTCGTTTTGTTGTTGCTGACATTATGTTTTTAGCCAGCTGAACTACCACCTATTCCAGCATCACTGTATCAGTAGTCCCGAGTGCAAATGTGGGCATCCGAATGAGACACCAGAACACTATTTATTACACTGCAAATGTTATAATACTGAAAGGACCAAAATGTTGTTATCCATATCTTGCCTTCATCTTGAAAACATACTTCCTTCCGACCCACTCAACGTAAACGACGCCACATTATGTACTTTACTTCTTACAGGTAGCCCCTCCCTCCCATACCCTACCAACTGCCGTATCTTTGATATTGTGTTTAACTATATCCACCACTCTGGAAGATTTGACCAATCTCAATAATGTTATGCTAGGTATTGGTGCGCCAGCCACTTTCATTTTATGTTGATGTTATACTTTCTGTCTTCTCTATGTTACATTTGTATTATGTTTTATGAGCAGCGGATTTACATAAGCACAACAAGTGCTTCCTATCCAATGCTCAAAAATCCATGTGAATAAATAAATAAAAAAAAATGTTTTTATTTCAATTAGGGAGCAACCCTGTACCAAACAAGGGCACGCTGCGGCGTATGCCAGTTGAAAAGTCTTTGGAGGAAGGAAAATGGAGTTCTGCGATTAAGAGCATGAAGCCGGGAGTATATGAGGTTATATTTCATTACTCTATACCATGGTATCGATGAAATATATTGTTTTCCTTGGTATATCTTCTCCTTCTCTTCGGCCCAGCTGCCCACCTGCTAAATGCTATCGCATTCCGTCCCACGTTTCTTGAGATACAACGTTACACCAAAGCATCATCCAGACCAAAAACAGAAAATAACTAGAAAGGCCAATATTTGCTTTGGAGCAAATACAGCGATGGGTTCACCACATTTTACCACATGGCAGGGAAAGAATGAGAAACACAAGGGAAAACAATGATTTACATTGATATAACTATAATATGAAGTAACATACAACTAAAACAACAGTTGGATAGCTATTCCCTACTTTATTGGTTAGGATTTTTAATTGCATAATGCAAACTGTTGATTTTCAAAATGAAAAAAAAAACGTTCATGCCCCGCATTCCAATGCTGGAGCAGAAAAGCTTGAAATACCTACCAAAACACTTGAATAAAGACATACTGTCAGTATGGAAATGCTCTGTGCAGGTGTTAATCAAGTTAAATCCCAACAGCCAATCAGCAAGGAATGCTCTGTGCAGGTGGAAATGCTCTGTGCAGGTGTTAATCAAGTTAAATCCCAACAGTCAATCAGCAAGAAGTATAGAGGAAAGCTGCATGCCTATTGGTTGATGCCCTGCATTCCATTGTGATGACTCATGCCCAGACGTGGTAAACACGGCACACTAACACAGTAATACATTTGCTATAACACAGCCAAAAAACTCAAATAAAACCATTCTAAAAGCCTGTATCACAAAAATTTAAAAAACGCCTAGGGGTATTTGCCCACTGTACCTCCATACTAAATTTCAGGACCTTAGGCCCTAAAATGAAGAAGCTGAATCCATTTAAAAAATGGCAGGAGAAGGAGAAGGAGAAACATCAGAAAAAGCAATATGGGTTCACCACCACTTCGTGGTGTTGTGAACCCATAATTAGAGTTAAAGTAACACAAGCGTTTGCCATATATGGAGTGTTTTTTAAGTGTTAGTATTTCTATGTGTTAATGTTTAAGTTATTATGTTATGGTGGTGTAGTCTTGTCCAATAACTCGTTACAGTTATCTTGGGATTACCCTCTAAGCCTCTTTACCTTTACCTCACACTTTGCCGCAATAATGCTTTGAATAGCCGCTACGGGGTATTATCGAACTTCACATTCATTTTGGCTGCCACTAACCACCCACTAAATATCGTTATCATATAGCCGGGTGACGTTGACCAATCAGAAGGCTCCATTCCACATTCTTTATGTCGCCGTAATGTCACAAATAGAGTCAAAATCGGGTATTAATCATCCCAATCCATACATTAAACAAAATGAATAATCACCTCAGGTGACCCAATAGAACACGGCTCTACTTCTAAAAAATCCAAAAATAACTTGAGTTGTGTTCCAATGACTCCCATAAGAACACCTGTTCCCTGCCTATGACCCAGATAGAAGGCCATAGAACATGAACCCCCAGTGACCTCAGGTGACTCCAGATGGAACAACATATTCTATGTTCTATTCAGCATGTGCAAGGGGTGAATTGTACATTGTATCACTCTTCACTGCATCAGTTTGGATAGGCTATCGTGTAAGCTATATGATAATAGCGTTAATGGCCCGCCCTTTCTCGGTGAATATGGTGTGATAAAGCCTTGTCAGTTGCTATAACCACCTCATAAAGCCACCTCGTTCGCTGCGCTCACTTGGTGGCTTTATTCGGTGGTTATAGCAACTGACAAGGCTTAATCACACCATATTCACCTCGGGACGGGACATTAACCCTTAATTAACAACAATCCATTGCTTCTCGAGTTCTATTGTACACAAAAAAACAACTTCATTTTCACAACAGCTACCCACACACCAAATATCAAAAAAGATCCATCCAAAACTACTCGAGTTGTGACGTTGACCTACATACAGATCACAGCTACATACCACAAACCACACCTGCTCCACCTGGCCCAAACCGAAAACATACCTTTCTGACGAAAACGATCACTTTTCCCGCAGGTGGCAATCACCACGCCTCCTGACGCCATCGTCGGCAGGTATCACGTAGTCATCGAGACGACGTCAGACGGCAAGACGTTCCGCAGCAGGAAGACGGACGACAACACCGTGGTCATTCTCTTCAACCCATGGGTCAAGGGTAAGGAACTAAAATATGAATGAATGAATGAAGTCACTTATCGCACATCCTTTGTCTCTCTATGCTAGATTTGAGTCACAAATACGAAACAAGTTTACAAACTATGGTAGTGAAAATTGTGGGTTCGGCTTCTTTAGCTTTGTGATGATTCGGATATAAAACAAACACTTTTAGTTTTTCTAATCGAGGATAGCCCTTAATGCATTTGTCTTTATATATCAAATGGGGAACATCATGGCGGTCATATTTGTGTTATAACGTTAGATTCTAATAATAATAAGTGTTACTATTCTTCCCTTTTTGTTGTTGTTGTTGTTGTTGAAAATGACTTTATATGTGTCTTTCGCCTTTTGCAGATGATTTCACGTACATGGATGATGAGGCCAAGCTGGGTGAGTACGTTCTGAACGAACATGGCTACCAGTACAATGGTACCAGCAGGTGGCCCGGGCGGCGACCATGGAACTTTGGACAGGTAGGACGTACTTCTAAGACGACTTCGATAATGTCTTCCTGTTTACATCAGATGCATTGTTTTGCTCAGAAGGATTCGAACGCCCTTAATCAATCTCTCTTTGATGGCCATCGTTGATATGAGCGAGAAAATAGACATCTAGATCATTTTTTTCAAAATTTAGAGACATTTGACTTTCATCGTTGCTTTTACATAGTTTACAGACTAGTAAGTGGCAATTTCTTCCGTTCTTCATCAGTTCGAGCCCAAGATTCTGGATGCGTGCTTGTGGCTTCTGGATAGCTCAAACATACGGAACGAGAGTCGGGGAGACGCTGTTGTGGTCAGCAGAGTCGTCTCGAAGATGGTGAGACCCTGGTCCTACTTCTTTCCTCTACAGATATTGCATGGAGGTAGTGACAAGGTACCAATAAGAACGTTAACATTGGGTGGAGAATATCATAAGCTGATATATTTCATGCAGATGAGGTTCTTATTTGCATAATCAATGAGAAACTTTTGTGACTTGTTGTGGAAATCTAGTTGTTGTTCCGAAGGATTCAGAACTTCGATGTCGTTGCATGTATGTAAACAAAATTGAGTAACCAACTAGACTTCCTGTCCAGGTGAACTCCAATGACGATAATGGCGTGTTGGCCGGGAAATGGGAAGAGCCCTATTCCGGCGGGATGTTCCCCTGGAGCTGGAACGGCAGTGTGGAGATCCTTCTTCAGCATCACGCGCAAAAACGACCAGTAAAGTTCGGACAGTGCTGGGTCTTCTCTGGTGTTACGACGACAGGTAAGAAGTCTAGCGGTATATAATGATGAAGTTTATTGCAAATTCATGCCCGGGGGGCTAATTGCAGATTAACAACATAAAAGAACAATGAAACGTAGTATAAAATAACTAAAATCTACATGATAAAATGTAGTTGTCTAGAGCTATAGCTATGTCTAAAACTATGTCTAAGGGGTTTGACTTCTCTTTTTTAGACCATGGAAGACGTAATGTCCCATCTTTTCTAAAATTAGTGGGTTTTGAGAAGTTAAAAGAAGAATAGTTTTTCTTGGTCTGTAAGTTTAGTAAAATTGGGATAAGTTGTAGAAGTTTGAATAGTTAACTCATTTCGAGCGTTGCTATGAAAGGAACAATTTGAGATAAAGTGTATTTCGTCTCCCACAGCCTTTGCATTACAACATATATAAGATTAAGAGAAGCATCTTTCCAGTACGCACGTCAGATTACTGCCGTCCCGTAAAGCGCAGTCTTAAATTTGAAACCAACATTGTAGAATTCGCCGACATGCGTTGATTGACATGAGCGGGCGGGCAAAACATCCAGCGAAGAGGAAAAACGGTGAGCACCCGATAGGATCGCTACTAGACTAGTGACGGAAAGTATATCACACTCTTATCCATACTCCTCAGTTCTCCGATGTCTCGGGATTCCTGCCCGCAGCGTCACTAACTTTGATTCCGCGCACGACACTGACGTCAGCATGACCATAGACTCCTACTATGACGAGCGTGGGCGTCCTGTCAACTTCACCGGAAGGAATGACTCGGTCTGGTAGGAGAAATGTGAAATTGTGTGATAAACACTGGTGGAGAATTGATAAAAATCTTTACTTGAAATATGGTGCCCAAACCTAACCCCAAAAACAGTGCTTTTCGAAAAAGCACTGTAGTTGCTTAAGTTGCGGCACCATATTTGGAGTGAAAATCTGCATGCTTGTTGCTCGTCTTGAATGTGTATTGCAATGGATATTTGGAAGGGTGACTAGCGGACTAGCACTACTGATAGGCACTACTGATAGATACTCAAATGCGTTGAGCCAAATATGAAAGATCACCAAATGACGTATTGAAATGTTTCTCAATATTAGGAACTTCCACGTGTGGAACGAGGCGTGGATGGCCCGGCCTGACCTACCGGAGGGGTATGGAGGCTGGCAGGCGTTGGACGCCACGCCGCAGGAATTAAGCGACGGTATTTTTATGGGTTCACCACACCACGAAGTGGTGAGGTGAAACCATATTGCTTTTTCTGGTGTTTCTTCTCCTTCTCCTCCTCCTTCTTCTCCTGCCATTTTTTAAATGGATTCAGCTTCTTCATTTTGGGGCCTAAGATCCTGAAATTTGGTATGGAGGTACAGTGGGCAAATACCCCTAGGCGTGTTTTAAATTTTTGTGATACAGGCTTTTAGAATGGTTTTATTTGAGTTTTTTGGCTGTGTTATAGCAAATGTATTACTGTGTTAGTGTGCCGTGTTTACCTCGTTTGGGTATGAGTCATCACAATGGAATGCAGGGCATCAACCAATAGGCATGCAGCTTTCCTCTATTCTTCTTGCTGATTGGCTATTGGGATTTAACTTGATTAACACCTGCACAGAGCATTTCCACCTGCACAGAGCGTTTCTTGCTGATTGGCTGTTGGGATTTAACTTGATTAACACCTGCACAGAGCATTTCCATACTGACAGTATGTCTTTATTCAAGTGTTTTGGTAGGTATTTCAAGCTTTCCTGCTCCAGCATTGGAATGCGGGGCATGAACGTTATTTTTATCTTGAAAATCAACAGTTTGCATTATGCAATTAAAAATCCTAACCAATAAAGTAGGGAATAGCTATCCAACTGTTGTTTTAGTCGTATGTTACTTCATATTATAGTTATATCAATGTAAATCATTGTTTTCCCTTGTGTTTCTCATTCTTTCCCTGCCATGTCGTAAAATGTGGTGAACCCATCGCTGTATTTGCTCCAAAGCAAATATTGGCCTTTCTAGTTTAGCTTGTTTTTCCAAATGTTTGATGATACCCTGACGACCAGTTCAAAAACTTACTGGTCTACGGCATCTACGTTGTCTACGTTGCATCATGATCTATCATCTGTGATCATATCAACTTTTGTATTGTTACCTTTGCCAAGAAGTTTATGTTTTCAGGGGCGTTCGTGTGTCTTCATATTGATTATGCAAATGAAGACTTAATTTGCATAATTATTGAAAAACGTTATAATTCCAAAGTGGTAACTGCCTGGAATTTCATACTTGGGGTATTTGAAAGTGAAGTAAAGGTGAACATATTCAAATAACGACCTCATTTGCATAATTTATGAGCAAATGCTAGTTCGTCGTTAAGATAAGACTGTTCTTTGGTGTAGAATATGATCAACAGATATAATTCATGAAATTTAGGATCCTATTTGCATAATCACGGGGATTAATATATAATTTCTGAGTCATAAAGGCTAATATCATTTGGCGAAGGTATGAGATCGTGGAACTCTAGTTCTATACTATTTTTTGTTTGTTTACTTGTTGGTCGGTCGGTCGGTTGGTTGGTATTGGTGTATCCAGAAATGTGCTTTATGCAGAACCATGCTCAGACACGTTTCTGGATAGTAGATGAATAAGAAGTTGATTATCAAACTAAGAACAGGGATTTCAATTGCTAACCTTTGTGTTAGGTAAAAGCCAGTGCGGACCCTGCCCTGTCTCTGCAATAAAAAACGGGCACGTCTACTTGCCGTACGACACCAAGTTCGTCTTCGCCGAGGTGAACGCCGACAGGGTGAGCTGGCAGGTACGTTCACACTTGAAGTCTCTAATGAACAAACAAATGTGAGCAAAAAGGTTTGAGAGATAAATCATACAACATAAATCTAGTTAGTAATATCATCGAATGCTATGGGTGATCACATAGTAAATGGGCATTACAAACGACCACAGGACGTACACACTGAGTAAAGAGACTCTTTCTACACAACCAAGTCTTTACTCAGCCGACGTTTCGGTGACCGTCTGTCACCTTCCTCAGGGAAATTCTGACTGGTTCACATTGCATTGCACAGGTGTCGCTGCCATAGATGCATTCCCAAACGTACAATATCTGTAATCACGCATATGTGTAGATATGTAAATATTGTACGTTTAGCATCTGTAGCAGCGACACCTGTGCTATGGATGCATTCCAAAATGTACATGTGAATGCATCTATAGCATAACGTTCATGAATGCATTTATAGCAGCGACACCAGTCAGAATTGCCCTGAGGAAGGTGACAGACCGGCTGAAAAAAAGACTTGGTTGTGTTAAAAAAAGAGTCTCTTTACTCAGTGTTTTACCTACCTGATGAAACTATTCACGGAGGACGTACACACGTTCATGATCATCATTCCAGGTGGACAGGCGTAGGAACCTGACTAAGACGGGCACCTACAAGAACGCCATCGGTCACAGAATAAGCACCAAGGCTGTCGGCTCCAACGACAGGGAAGATGTGACGGAGAACTACAAGTATCCTGAAGGTCATTGCCACGCCATTATTGCATCATTGTATTGCTATTCTAGTTAATCGTTAATATTTCTTTGGTACTTGCGCCGTTGTCCTGTGTCTTAGCCTAACTTCCGAGATCTTCCGGCGGTGCAGAGTCGCAGCGGTTTCTGGTTAACGTTGTGGGGGGGGGGGATCCCAGCAGCCCAGATGGCTGAATATGACCAACAACAAACATATAGACCTGTTATCATGAAAGTTCATCTGTGTTGGTAGTAATCATAGTTAAACGTTGAACTTTATTCCAACACACAATTGTACAGGGATCAAATTTTCAGCGACCACTGTCGCCTTCATCAGGATGATTAATGACCAATCACTTCACAACGTGATCTCGCGAGAGTTACGGTTACACACACGTGACCTTATTCACACGAGACTTTACTGATACGTGACGTGAGCAATGGATACAATTGATATAAACTCCCTGGCATTTTTGATCAATTGATACTTTTGATACGTATGAGTAAAGCCTCGTGTGAATAAGACCACGTGTTTGTAACCGTAACTCTCGCGAGATCACGCTGTGAAGTGATTGGTCATTGATTATCCTAATGAAGGCGACAGTGGTCGCTGAAAATTTGATCCCTGTACAATTGTGTGCTGGAATAAAGTGCAACGTTTTACTATATAGACATGTCTTTATGCCGTTGACAATACAATTTTATCAGTCAATATTATTTTCTCCAATCATCAAAAGGCTAAACTAGTCCAGAGACTGTTTGGCATTTGTAACTTCTGAAAAACTTTTCAAATTGTGTAATAAACATTGGTAGAAAATTGTTGAAATTCTCTTCAAATATGGTGCCCTAACTTAACAAAACTTAACTACAGTGCTTGTCTGTTGATTGATGACATGATACTGTTGGCATATCAGAAAAACCAAAATACACCAAAAAGCATCCATTGGAAAGTGAAGAAATGCATATTTTGTCATTATTCTAAACGAAAATATCAAGGAGCCATCAAGGATGAACTTTCATGCTAATGAGGGAGTCATTGAAGCGTCATGGGCAGATCAATTCCAGGTTGCTTATACCTCTGCTGCGTCACCCTACAGGTTCTGACCAGGAGCGTGTGGCAGTCCGCACTGCAGTTTCACACGGAATGCGGCCGAACACTTACGACGACGTCATTAAAGAGGAGGACGTGGAATTCAAAATCCATGCCGACGATGATGTAAGTAAGAGCCTGTGGGGGACATTGCCGAGTGTGCAAAGCAGTGATTCTGTGCTATCTATGTGATTTCTGTTTTATTATGTTTCCCGAAGGAAAACATATTGTTTTTGCTCCATTTCTTCTTGTTCTTCTGTTCCAAACACTGACCTCTGACCTGACCAATGGCCTCTTTTGTTGACGTCTGTCACCATAGTAACTGGTGTTGGGTTACATAATGTTGCAATTTCATAGTAGGTATTTAGACTCATGTCACCATATGCATGTATGTGAATGTGTTTGAGTAAGAATTAACAGAGCAGACCATGTCCGAAGGAAAACATTATGCATTTGCTTTGCAAATGTTACTTTTCTAGTTTTACTTAATTTGCTAAGCTCCGGTATGCGGTAAAACGTTCTGCACTTCTAGGCGTGCTAATACTATTTTTTACCCTCTCTATCTTAGATCTACATAGGCGAGAATATTCACGTGAGACTGACCATGAAGAACCTCACTTCTGAACCTCGCCGTGTCACGGCCCACCTGACTGCCCAGGCCATGTACTACACCGGCGTGCCTGCGTATGACATCGGAGAGATGGAGGAGGACGTCACAGTTCCACCAAGGGGAGGTTAGTCATTTACAAAGTAACGAATGTTGGACACGATTTTGGAGGTTACACTGGCTCTCTTATCTTCCATATAATCTTTCTCAGACTATGCACAAAACTCCAGTTATCGATAAAACTGTATGTCATAAGTGTTGTGTTTTCCATGCTCCGCTAAATAGGTAGACAGGTATATGTGTGGAAAGTCCACTGAAACGGAAAAGGATGATCTTTTTCGAATTCAGTATATCAATCCCGATATCAACCAAGATATAGAGTAGATACAGATCACACGAATGCACTGATAAACAATCAATCATCAGCTTGTACAAAACAACCAATTCGGTAGTTAACTCTCGACTGTCAGCCCTTAACAGGCCTGAGAAATGTGACAAGCTAATACGGCAAACGTCTCTTTGACCATAAAACATTTACAAAGACATGCGTGTACTACGTTTTTCTTGAGTTATTGCTTCAATTCTGCCAATGTCTGTACTGCAGTTAAAGTTCTGTTAACGTTAAAGTTAAAGTTTTTAACATATCATTTCTAATTAGCGTTATTTATCAATCACTTTTGTTATTCATTGTTACTATTTGTTTTGTTACTATTATCATATTAATCATATTGATCAAATTTATTAATTACCTATTGTTATTTATTATTACCATTTGATTTGTTAGCATTATTTCAGTTGTTAATTAATTTTGTCGGGGAAGATCCCAGACAAGCCACTATGGCTTCATATCTTTCCCCAGCATTTTATTTTATTGTCAGTAATATGTTCATTTTATTGTTCTTAAATATATGCGAACCAATAAACAAACAAACAAACAAACAATGATATAACCAAAGTCTTTCATCTGGCTTGTAAATTTGTCCTTCATGATGACACTCATTACACTGGTATTTCCTCAGTGGCAGTGTCTTTCCCAATTAAAATGTAAGTTACTAACCTGTCTACACCCTTCCAGAGGCTTCCGTGGAGATGACCTACACGCCCAAGGAGTATCTGGACAAGCTGGTGGAACAGGCAATCGTGAAGGTTCACGCCTTGGCGCACGTGGACACCACTGGCCAGGTCTACGTAGGACAAGATGACTTCCTGCTCATAAGTCCGGAGCTCATCATCAAGGTAGGTTGTTAACATCTATTTCGAACCTTATCTTGAAAGTCCAATTTTTATTGTGTTTTCAATTTAATTTATTCAATACAACAAAATCGTACAAACGCAGGAATTTCAATGCAACAAAATCGTAAAAACGCAGGAAATGCTAATGCACCCCTGAATTAAGTATTCGATTTTTACAATTGGTTAAAAAACAAAACAGGACAAGTACACAGAAACACAATATATACAAATATGTACAAACACCATTCAATCTACAACAGGAAATAGCAGACATAGGTTTTCAAATATCAGTCCTTATCACTGTCATTGTAGAGCCTTACTGCACAATGTAAGAAAGACTTTTTCAAGCGTAGAGTCCTAGCTTTAGGCAAGGTGAGCATGTTGCTGTTCCTGAGCTGTCTCCCTGTGGCAGTCGCACGTTCAGGGGGAACAAGGTCGTGCAGAGGGTGATCCAGCATAGCTTTGAAGAGATTTACTGCTGCTGACTCCCTTCTTTCCTTCAGAGTTGGAAATCACAGTTCAATCTTGTTCATTATTTCGAACCTTGTTGTCCAGATGACTTTGACCAACGAAAAAAGGGGCAATTTCCCATAACCACCGGTAATTATTAGTCCAAATTCACTTGTGAGCTCTTCACATCCAACCTGGCGCCAACCAGGCTGTTTGTGGCTTTCAGAAATGTTTTTACGTTTGACAACATTAATACACAGCACTGAATAAGAGTAGATAGAAATGTAGTGAAACAGTGAATAAATGTAGCGACATGACTCCAGGTTTCTGTTGTTCCCTCGTAGGTGCCATGTGTGAATCAATCAGTCAAGAGCAGTGTCTGATGATGCAGCAAAGCCATTCTCATACTCTCTCTAACTCACTCTGTGTGTGTTTTTCCTGGTAGGCTCCAGATGAGATCTATGTAGGCGAACAGGTCACAGCAGAGATCGAGTTCACCAATCCTCTGGACGTCACTCTGTCCAAGGCAGAGTTTTATATCGAGGGCCCTGGACTGCAGAAAGCAAAGAAAATCTCTCACAAGTACGTTACATCAGCTTTTGTCAAATTGAATCAATTTTGTTTTGAGCTATCACCACAGTAGGGTTAGTAGGGTGTGTAGGGTTACTTTGGGTTAGAAAAGTGGCCGCTAAGTAAATCGGTTCCATCTAGTAGCTATCTCGTGATTTATAATTGTTGTGTACTGCTACAACTTATTTCATGAGAAAAGATCTTACCAAGGATATGGATTTCAAACTGTTTTAAATGTTCTAGTCATGTCCACGAATATTGATTTCTAAACTGTGCCAAACATTCAGTTCTTACACTAGCCCCTACTGTTTAGTACAATCGGCAGATGCTACGTCAGCGTTGAACATCAACGTTGTTAAAATACTGCTATGGATCTTTTCATAAGGTTTCAGTTCGCCATTTTATCAATTACCGTAAACTATTTCTGGGGGATGTAGAATTTTGGATAAAACAACATATTGAAACAGCAGTCAAGCTTACAACCAGAATTATCATATTAGGCATTCCAGTTAATCATCCTATTGTCCTTAACACATTGTTATTAATATTGAAACTTTATATATATAAGAACAGACAGTACAAGTTTGTCACGAATAAAGGATTTATAGGCTATGTTAAATACTATCACAGATTAGAATATGTGACAGCACTGCAGGAAAATGGAGAAACATATGTTGAAATGGGGTCCACCGTATGGTAAATTGGTAGACTAATGTATTGTTTGCAAAATGTCTCTGGGTATTTATTTTTCTTGTATATGAACATGTTCTCTGTTCTTTTTTCTTTGCTTTTGAAATAATAATAAAGATTATTTGAAAAAACTTTCAGACCCATCAAACCAGGAGAGACAGCACGCGTGACGGAGAAGATAACACCTAGGAAGTGGGGGAAGAAAACCATCATAGCGTCCTTCACCTCCGACAAGATCAAACAGGTCACCGGCGAGCTCGACGTCCAAGTCAATGAATTAAACCTATCTTACTATACGGGTCACCGGCGACCTCGACGTCCAAGTCAATGAATTAAACCTATCTTACTATACGGGTCACCGGCGAGCTCGACGTCCAAGTCAATGAATTAAACCTATCTTACTATACGGGTCTGAAATATGGGGGGGTTTCAAAAGCCAAAAATTCTGCCCTATTGAATCAGTCCTTTTAAAATTTTGCAAACATTCACTTAACATCCCCAAAACAGCTAGTAATCTTGCATCACTGGCAGAACTAGGGAGATACCCCATTCACCTAGAGGCCTCCCTAAATGCCATCAAGTATTTCATTCGACTCTGTAAGAACGTACCAGCTGACACCCTTCAGGCAGACGCTCTTCTATGTCAAGTAGATTGAGAAGCATCAGGTACAAAATGTTGGGCGTCTGGTGTACGCAAAACTCTAGAGGAATGTGGTTATGCTTTCGTCTGGCAAAATCCCCAGTCAATTGTCTCAAACACGTCCCCTATTATGTCATCAATTTATCAGCGTATAAAAGATATCTATTTTCAGACATTTCTATCCGAAATCCACGACGATAACAGAATTGCAAATGCAAAGAATAAACTCAGATTATACAGACTAGTAAAACATTCTTATAACGAAGAAGAATATCTTAAATTAGCAAATGTACGTCATAGATCCACTATCACAAAACTAAGAATCAGTTGTCACAAATTGCGAATTGAAGCAGGAAGACATAACCGCACTCCCTTAGAGCAAAGAATCTGCCAATTTTGTAGCCTAGATAGAGTAGAGGACGAAGGCAAAAATGTACAATAAAGGTCTCCATTCATTCATTCATTAATCGGCCTTTGAAATTATGAAAAAATGCGGTATTTGGCCTCGTAGAAGGCATCAGATATTTCTGCCCATACATCCTTTACAGGAACTGGTTATGAATTTAAAAAAATGCGATATTTGGCGACGTAGAAGGCATCCCATACATGCTTTACAGGAACTGGTTTACGTTCAACATTTTCTTACGCTAGATACACATGGGAAAGGACACAAAATGGAAGGGCATAGTAGATAGTATGAGAAGTCAAATCATTGAAGATTTTTACAGTAGTTATACAGATACTCTTTTGACCATTTATTAATTGTCGGTGATACGGTAATACTATTTCTAAAATGATAGAGCATTAACTACAACAGGAATAATTTTCTTGTAGCTATATAGCTATAATAGCTTTATGACTATCTTTCGTAACAAGCTGATTGATGCAAACAATATCAACGTTTGTCCCAGTGGTGTCGTGATGGTCTCATATTAACTTGGTTGTAATACATGATTACAACTGTCAATCAGCATCGGTCAAACAAAAGGTTTATAGATCAGTTATAACAGGTAACTTACGATATCAACATCTTAGTTTCATGAATGTTTTCATTGCATGGTGACAGTTGCGACAATGTAATGAATTTTAACGAAACATTAGAAACCCATGGTACATAACTCACTCAGCTTCTATGGTAGCTTCTTTATTATTATAATTACTTCATGTAATGTTTTCATTGGTGGCAGTGACAAGAATGTGATAGAATCTACACGAAACATTGTAGTAGTTTCTCTAATTGATACGGTTTACCAATGGTGAGCAACAGCAATTTATTAAACGTGGTTGTCAGTTGGTGTCTACACGGTGTCCTGATGTTTATTTTTTGCAGATCTTTCTTTGTCTAAGATTCGACAAAAAGTCCTAGCTTACATTCTTTATGGCTGTAACTATGTCTCATTAATTATCTAGAATAAGTTTAAGATTTAAGTATACAAAAACAACAAACCATCTAACGAACCAAGCAACGAATTCTGAACCAATCAACCGAAAAACCAATGAACCGATCAACCGACCGACTAAGATACCAACCAGTCAACACTCAACCACTGAACAAGCAACGAGAATAGTTTCATCTAACACCTTTAGCATTGTCTTGCTGTGTGATTAATTTAATAACAAATGATAATTACGAGCGTTCTCTGCACTCGTAAATACACTAATTGGATGTCAAATGGAAACAAGTACATACGGGAAACATGACATATTTCATATAGCTTACTAACAGAATATAGGTCTGTTCTTAATTAATAGTTACAAAACTAACGTATCATAACTTACAAACACACCATAGCTTACAAGCACATATAATAACTTACAAACTCATGTAGGTTGCAAAGAAAATTATGGAATGCTTACAGATGATTAATTTGGCCTTGAAGATGTCCTCACGCTCGCTCCAAACAGCTGCAGAGCTCATGATACTCCCAAAATGCCAGCAGCTTGGTGAAAAATATTCAAAGGTCATCAAGTTCCTTCTTTTCGCAGATTTTCTGTTGTTTTTTTTTCCAGCCAAGTAAAATGTTCAGGTTTTATTAACGCTGTCTCACGCTGTTACTTTTAATCTGGTCTTCAAACTCTCCATTCACAATATTCCTCCGTCCTGCTCCTTATTATCACTGTCCTGTACGCATCCCAATTAAAGTTCGTGTCACCGATCCACGGCTGAAATCTCTGCTAAGTTCCAAATTCAGAGACTGGTTACCAACCACTAGACTACAGATCACTGGCCGAGTAACCAGAAACAGTCACAAACTGTCCAACCTCACAGCAAGAACCAACATGTCCAGTTTACTCAACAAACCTTGACAATATAACACATCAGACGTAAATATGTACTTTTTCATTCGATCAGCTGAATATTACTACAGTGAATGCCCCTAAGATGTGCTGCGCCAGTTTCAACCATATTATTGTTCTAAATTGCAATATTTTTCAATAATTGTCAATGCATTTTATTATGTAAAATACCGCTTGTTTGTAGTGAATGATTTTTAAACTTTGAAAATTGGACGTAATTCAGTGGTCTCACTGCAATGAAGATTGGCAATGTTCAATAAAGTGATCTTGAATCTTGATCTTCAAGTACAAACTCCAGAGCTTCATGAATCCATGTCCCTTGTTCCCCGGGAACTACCAAAGTGAGTATAGAGACTCTTTTTACACAACCAAGTCTTTTATTCAGCCGACGTTTCGGTGACCGTCTGTCACCATCGTCAGGGCAATTCTGACTGGTTCACGTTGCATTGCAGCACAGGTAGATACGTAAATATTGTACATTTGGGAATGCGTCTATAGCAGCGACACCTGTGCTGCAATGCAATGTGAACCAGTCAGAATTGCCCCGAGGAAGGTGACAGACGGTCACCGAAACGTTGTCTGAATAAAAGACTTGGTTGTGTAAAAAAGAGTCAATTTACTCAGTTTCTAATGAAACTATTCACGGATAGTTCACTACTAACATTTTATAACGCTGGGTACGCAAAAATGAAGTAGAATAACAGATGTTATGAGCAGGCTAAAAAGGTTTTTGTCTAATTTTCGACACATAGAAAAAACGTATGCAAAAAATAAACACTTGGACACAGTGTAGATACCAATTGACAACCACCTTTAATAAATTGTTGCTTCTTCATCATAGCTAGGCCTCATCTTTTAAACTTAGTTCTCTGTGAATCCAAAATGCTGGGTAATCCTTATGTCAATTCCTATCGTTCGTTCGTTCGTTGATCATTCATATGATGTAAAGTAAATTAAAGCTCGCTTTGAAGTACCTTAGAAGCTGAGCGAGTTACATATCATAGGTTTCTAAAGCCTCTTGTAGATTCCAGTGCATCGTCGGAAATGTCACCAATTGAAACATTTTCTGAAACTGAAATACCAATATTGGTAGGAGCCCCATATAACTCATCTATCATGCCTGTTTTGCATGGTCCAGCCAACGAATTCTGAACCAATCAACCGAAAGATCAATCAACCGATCAACCGACCAACTAACATACCAACCAGTCAACACTCAACCAATGAACAAGCAACAAAAGCAGTCTCATCTGACACCTCTAACATTGTCTGGCTGTCTGGTCAGTTAATTAATGAAAAAATAGCGTTCTCTACACTCGTAAATGCACTAATTGGATGTCAAATAGAAACAAATACATACGGGAAACATCATATATTTCATATAGCTTACAAACTCATGTAGCTTGCAAATAAAACTATGGAATGCTTACAAATGATTAATTACCCTCCATGTAATGGGGGTATTGTTTTTGGTCCGTTTCATGTTTTGGTCTGATATCTGAAGATCGGTGAAAAGGAACTGTATGATATTTGGCAGATTGATGGATGGGGCCTTGGAGATTGTGTAGGTTGAGCCCCTGGTGATTGACCTTGGTACTGCAGTTTAATTTTTTTATTCTATTGTTGGCGCGTTATGGACTGTTTGTGCTATATTAAGGTAGCATGTAGTTGTTATAATTATGGTTTAGTGGTTTAAATTTGGGTTTCCTAGCTGTTTGCGTTTGATATTTACAAAATGTTTAACGTTGGTCTTTTTGTGTTGAATGTTTGGAAAATCTGGTGGATGGTTTGGTATAATTTTTGGTATGTGGGCAGTTGTTGAGTCTCTTTGTGTTTTAGAGTGCATTAGCAGGTTGTCGTATATTTGTATTGCTTAATTTAAAAGGATTTCTACATTATCACCCCTATTTTATAGTAGTGTGGTCTGTGTTTGACCACAGTGTATCTGTTTTTACCTCCTGTTTGACAGGCTATAGTTATATTTCTTTGGTCTGGTTGTTTTTGGGTCATTGACCTGCCGGCCTTGCTAATGGGGTGGTTTGTTTGTACACAACACCAACCTCGTTCATGGAGGGAAGATGTCTATTGCTTGTTTGGCCTTGAAGATGTCCTCACGCTCGCTCCGAACAGCTGCAGAGCTCATGATATTCCCAAATTGTCAGCAGCTTGGTAGAAAACATTCAAAGGACAGCAACTTCCTTCTCTTCGCAGATTTTGTTAATGTCTTTTTACAGCCAAGTAAAATTTTCAGGTTATCAACCTGTCTCACGCTGTTACTTTTAATCTAGTCTTCAAACTCTCCATCCACGAGAGTCGTCTGCCCTGCTTCTTATCATCACTGTCCTGTACGCATCACCGATCCATGGCTGCGAATTCAGAGACTGGTTACGACTCACAAGACTACAGATCACTGACCGAGTAACCAGAAACAGTCACAAACTGCCCAACCCCATAACAAGAACCAACAGATACAGAAACTCACCTGTTCCGTACATGTGCATTTTACCCTACAAACCTTGACAACATAACACATCAGACGTAAATATGTACTTCGATGTCATTCGATCAGGAGAATACTTACTACAATAAATGCACCTTAGATGTGCTGCACCATTTTTAACCATTGCATGTTATTGTTCTAAATTGCGATATTTGTCAATAATTGTCAATGCATTTTATTATGTAAAATACCGCTTGTTTGTAGTGAATAGCTTTTAAACTTTGTAAATTGGACGTAATTCAGTTGTCCCACTGCAATGTTCAATAAAGTGATCTTGGATCTTGAATCTTAATCTGTGGGTACAAACAAACTTCGGAGCTTCATGAATCCATGTCCCTTGTTCCCCGGGGACTGGTTCACTACCAACATTCTATTACGCTGGATACGCAAAAAGGAAGTAATTTAACAGATGCTTGAGTAGGCTAATTGTTGTCAATTTTTCGACACAGAAAGAAACAAAACGTATGCAGGAAATAGACATTTGGACACAGTTAGTCAACACCAAATGACAACCACATTTAATATATTGTTGTGTGCTCATCATAGCTAGGCCTTATCTTTTAAACTTAGTTCTCTGTGAACCCAAAATGCTGGATAATCCTTATATCAATTCCTATCGTTCGTTGATCATTCATATGATGTAAAGTAAATTAAAGCTCGCTTTGAAGTTCCATAGACGCTGAGCGAGTTACATATCATAGGTTTCTAAAGCCTCTTGTAGCTTCTCGTGCATCTCGTGATGTGTTTTTGTCTTTTTAAACGTTTGCACTATATCTTATGCACTATTTCCTATGTATATATGTAACGAATTCGAAGTGCCTGTATTCCATGTATTTGAGCCTTGGAAGACTAGCCCTGTATGGCTAAAAGGTTTCGAAATAAATGAAATGAAATAAAAAATGAAAATTAAATGTCACCATTTAAAACGTCACAATTAAATGTCACCAATTAAAACGTCACAATTAAATGTCACCAATTAAAACGTCACAATTAAATGTCACCAATTAAAACGTCACAATTAAATGTCACTAATTAAAACGTTTTCTGAAACTGAAATACCGATATTGGTATATGCCCCACATAAATGATCTATCGTGCTTTTTTTTCCATTGACAAATGTTGCTTTTATTATCGGATTTTTAATCATGTATTTCAGCAACGTTGATGTGACACCATCACCACTGATACGAGCGTGCCACCCATAAAAAGCACGTTGATACCGATTTCACGTCTGACTGTGAAATGGCTATGATTTTCTTAGTAAATTCTGACACATATCGGCCCTATGGTGAGGCCCTAGAACTGCTTGACCGTGACTTCCCTCTCTCCGGTGACCTGCTGCAACTGGACAGACGTCAGGGAGGCCACGATGGTCTTCTTTCCGGCCTTTATGGGGGTCATACCTTCTGCGATACGGGCTGTTTCCCCGGGCATGATGGTTCTGAGAACAATATCATGATGGTGTTTTTAGTACACAATGTAATTAAACCTTCAAATGTCGGTGACAGGAACGTTTGATGTCTCTGCTCGAAGCAGGAACTATTTCACTATCAGCATTTTATTGCGCAGGATACATGGTAAAAGGAAGGGGTCTGGAATAACAGATGATATATAGAACTTTATTGCAGGACAGTTGTACATGGTACAATGTATAGCAACGACTATTGGACATAGTACGGAAAAAATAAAGAAAATGGCATATAATGAGAATAAACGTTCTAATTACTAAACATAAAGAGCTAAAATAGTATACAATCAAGTAAGGCTAATCATGAGTTTCCGCATTTTTTCTTATCACAAAACAGTTTTTATGTATTTACCTATCTTTGCATTGTATGAGTTGTTGCATTTGAATATGTATATATAAATCTTTTCAAAGCATCAAGTCTGTTGAAATCTATTGTACTAGGTTCGATAAATGTGAATAGCTTATTACGTAAAACGTCATATCTAAAGCATTTCATGGTGAAGTGAAATTTATCTTCAATCAATTTGGTTTGGACAAAATGGACAGAACCTTTGGTCAGGGGCTATGTCATAGTATCTGATCACACTTGTTTGTTGTTTATATGCTTGTATCACTTCCAGAATATCGGAGAAGAACTTACCCGTAAGGAATGGTCTTGGGCCTCTGCAGTCCGGGACCCTCGATACGGAACACCGCTTGTGTCAAGGACACGTCCAGCGGGTTTTTGAACTCCACTGTCACCCAGTACTGATTACCGACAGCCATCTCCGATGGTCCCTGAGCAACATTAGTACAAAGTGTTATCTATGGTTATCCCATCTAAAGTATGGAAATCCCTTGGGATCCATATTCTACTTAATCAAATTGAATTTGTATCAAACCCCCACATAAACATATACATAATAATACATATTGCATTTTTGTACCTCGGCAACCAGGACTCTATAACTGTATTTTTAAAATGTATGTATATTATTGCACCATTGTTCATAATTTGTATATTTCACTAAGCATGTATTTTGTACATTGTAAAATGCATTATATGTATGTCTAATAATTTTCATTTTTCCCCAGGGTGTCCCTTATAGTAATAGTCCTTGACTAGTTGGGACACCCTGGCTTCTTTGTAAGCCAAATGAATAAATAAATCTATGGTTACCATATAGACAAGTTGGCTTAAATATGAAACGTTTCTTAAAGATTTGTAACGGACTCGGTGTTCCTCTATATAATGGAAGTATGTCAGTAGCATCTACCAGACTCTTTTTGTTTATCGGCAAAATATAAGAACTTTGCCAAATAGGCTTAGTGATTTGCCGAAGGAGTTAGCATGCAGATCACGAGTTATGCAACTGTACGTGACAAATATGTATATTACAATGTATATGAATTGTATAGCCTATTTGGCCGATTTTAATATTATTTTCACACAACCTTAATTAACAGCTCTTATAGTCTATCATGTCACCAAGATACCTGGTTTATGGCATTCACTATATTGTTGGTTTTAGACCACAAAGAACTGTCTACATTATTATTCATTTGAATATTATTATTTCTATGTTTGAAATGAGTTGATATCATTAGGTATATAATCAAATGTCTCTACAAATACGTTGATATCCATTTGATTATTGTTATTTCTATGCTTGAAAAGAGTTGATATTATTCTGGTTAAAATCAAATGTCTCTACAGATACGTTAATATTCATTTGATTATCATTATTATAATTTCTATGTTTGAAATGAGTTGACATTATTAGTTTATAATCAAAGGTTTCTACGGATACGTTAATATTCATTTGAGTATTATCATTTTTATGTTTGATATCATTATGATTATCATGAAATGTCTCTAATTTCTATCTTCTGTATCATTTTCCGTTATTATTCTATTATTACCTGGATGGTTCAATCTCTGTATCTTTTTATGAGAAAGAATAAAAATTTAAAAAAAAGAACTGTCTTGGCCCTACCTTGATAACGAGATCGTGGCTGAGGAGCCGGAAGTCGTCTTGCCCGGCCCACACCTGCTTGGTGGTGTCCACGTGAGCCAGCACGAACACCGTGATCATGGACTGCTCAACCAGCTTGTCCAGGTACTCCTTCGAGGTCATCCTCATTTTGACAGTGTCCACTGTGACGGCAACGGAACGAATGACGAAACGGTAGCTTGACAAGGTTTACATCCTATAAAAGGTCTCCAAACGCTATGCTCTATGCAGAGCATAGGGTTTGGTGTCCATGTCCATTTCCATAGCCCTTGGGCGACACACAGTTGTGCAGGGCACTACAGCAGGGGGCTGGTCCGCTGGTAGTGCTGTGTGTTTGACCTTCCCACACTCTTTCTCATATGTGCCGAGTGCTAAGCAGAGAAAGAAGTGTGTACCATTTTTAAAGTCTTTGACCCGGCCGGGGTTTGAACTCCACTCACGACCTCCCGGTTACAAAGCGAACACTCTACCAATTGAGCTATTGCATCGGTTTTTATCCTGTTTTTTACTGGTGTTTTATACTTCTTATATACACCATCTTAATGTACCGTACTTGCTCCCCTGGCAAATTTTGCAGACAGACTTTTGATTCATCTCAAGGTTTTAGATAAAAAGCTAGTTCACTGTTTGAAATGACAGACCTTTTAATTATCATCTCTAGGTATATCATGGTTTAAAGTGCACATGTTCAGTGTGGAAAGTAACAAAAAATACTAAAATAAAACTAGTACCCCCTATTCTAAGAGGGCCTGGAAACCCCAGCACCAAGATCATGTACTGGTCAGAAACTCCAGCAGCTTAAGGATTGAAGATAATAAAGGCCCCTGGCAATGCAAGAACAATGGTCAGGAAACGAAACGTGGACAAGTTGCATTAAATCATGGTCAACACTTCGTTCATCCTTTTGCTTTCTGACACCATCTGTAGTGAGATCAAATGGACTGTCGAAAACAATCCTTCAAGGAACAGTAAAAGGAGCAAGAAAAAATGGGCCGACAACATCCAAGAATGGACAGGAAAAAAAACCTGCGGAAACCCTAACCCTAGCTCACAGCCGAGAGGGATGGCGGCAGATGGTCAGACACTCAACCATGCAGTGCCCCCACGACCCTGACCTGGGTTAAGGGACCAAGGTACATGGTACAAGGTACCATCTGTAGAAAAAACACGTCATAATAAAAAAGAGAAACGGTGACGTACCTCCGCCTGGTGGAATGGTCACGTCCTCCTCCAGCTCTCCCAGTTGTGCCCCCAGCACGCCGGTGTAGTACGTGGCATTGACCGTCAGGTGGGCCGTGATGTGACGAGATTCCGCACTGGTGTTTTTAATGGTCAGGGTCACTTCGATGTCCTGACCAACGTAGGCCTGCGTATGAAGCCACAGTTGTAGCATAAGTTATTCACACAAACAGTTGCACAGACATGATTATTTATCACATCCATCTAATTACTAAGTGAGATAGGAAATTCAATTCGAAACCCGTGATAACTAAAAAAAACTGGTGATAACTCCTTTCAGTGCAAATAATTTGCACAGTCATGACCTGTGGGCACTATATGCATATTTGAGCCTTGGGAAGAAATGCTAGACAAAGGGAACATGACAGGAGCCAGCATTTGACATATGTACTCCGAAGATTTCCAAAAGTAAGGTCGTTGTAGTTTTCTTTAGAACACTGCTGCATCAAAAGTACATATTCATAAGGTATAAAAATTGTCATGTGGATTCCAGTGCATAGTCGCAAATGCCACCAATAAAAACATTTTCTGAAACTGAAATACCAATATTGGTATATGCTCCACATAACTGATCTATCATGTTTCCCATTGACAAATGTTGTTTTTATTATCGGATTTTTAATCATGTATTTCAGCAAACTTGATGTGATTACCACTGACATCACCCACAGAAAGCATCACCCGTAGAAGCCAAATGCCAAAGACTTGTAAGTGCTAAATACTGTATAACCGACTCTCAACAACAAATGATCACCTCTTCATTGGCAGTGATAGAAAACTCCACATCTTCATTTTTGATGATGTCTTCATATGTCCACGGCGTAGTGCCGTATCCCACAGCCTTGCGGACTGCCACTCGCTCCTGGTCAGAACCTGGGGAAAATATAAGTTGAGTTCTCCATTACTAATAGAATAGAATCCGGCAGAATATAGAATCCGGCAGGCATAGCCGTACCCCTCTGAAAGATAGAACGTGCGAATTCTGTAATCATTTGTATGTTGAAAACGAGATACACTTTCTACTTGACTGTACATTATATAAAGATAAACGCCAAGAACTACTCGTTTTTTTACATTAAGACAAGATATGCAAGAAAATGTCAAAGCAGGACACGTTTAAACACTTGATGTCATGCAAGAACGAATGTATAGCAGACAAACTATGTAATTATGTTCCCAAATGTTTCAAAAAGAGAGAAGAAA